AGGTTAGGCCATTTGGTTGGATTCAGTGGACATACACTATATTACCAAAATAATTGGGACGCCCCTCCAAACCATTGGATGCAGGTGGTCCGTGAAATTTTCTTGCTACTAAATATTCCACAGTCAACTGTTATTGGTATTATAACAAAGTGGGAGCAACTGGGAACAACAGCAACTCAGCCACGAAGTGGTAGGCTACGTAAAATGACAGATCGGGGTCAGCGCATGCTGAAGCGCACAGTGCGCCAACTGTCTGCAGAGTCAATAGCTACAGACCTCCAAACTTTGTGTGGCCTTCAGATTGGCACAACAACAGTGCGTAGAGAGCTTCATGGAATGGGTTTCCATGGCCGAGCAGCTGCATCCAAGCCTTACATCACCAAGTGCAATGCAAAGCGTCGGATGCAGTGGTGTAAAGCACCCTGCCACTGGACTCTAGAGAAGTGGAGACGTGTTCTCTGGAGTGACGAATCACGCTTCTCTGTCTGGCAATCCGATGGACGTGTCTGGGTTTGGCGGTTGCCAGGAGAACGGTACTTGCCTGACTACATTGTGCCAAGTGTAAAGTTTGGTGGATGGGGGATTATGGTGTGCGGTTGTTTTTCAGGGGTTGGGCTTTGCCCCTCAGTTCCAGTGAAGGGAACTCTTAAGGTCTTGGTTCTCAACTGGTGGGTCGTGACCCAAAAGTGGGTCGCGACCCTGTGTTCAGTGGGTCCCTGTGTGCCTTCCACTTTTCTAGGTGAGAGGCTCCTCAGCCTACCCGTAGCGCAGCAGTCAGTTCTCGCGCCACGCAGCCATTCAAAATATGCTGCTCGGTGCCGAGTGTCAGCTTGAGGTGGGGTGGCCTCCATCCATATGTGCATTGCTTACAGCTCCCTTTCATATCCTGTAGAGGAGCCTGGACCAGAGTGATGTAACATACTGGCTCGGCACCTCTACAGGGTGTGCAAGGGAGCTGTACCAGCAATGCATATATGGATGGAGCTCCATCACAGTACAGCAGCCCACACCGGACCCCAGGCTGAGGATCCACTCCAGTCTTGTAAGGTAGGGAGACTGGGTGGATCTTTAAAAAAAAAATGTTTGTTTTTTTTGGAGTGCGTATGTGAGAGATTGTGTCTGTGTGTTTTTGAGGGCCCATTCACACTAGTACAGTGCGTTAATCCCACAGTCTTCGCAAACGCACCTACCGCATGTTTTGGTGTGAGAAGTGCATTACATTGCCATTCATCGAATGGCACCCCAAATGCACCTCCCACCCACAGTTCTATTGCCCGCATCGGAAAGGCAATTTGCAATTTGGGTCACGACTTAATGACCAAGGACAAATGTGGGGCCTGAGGTTACACAGGTTGAGAACCACTGTCTTAAAACATCAGCATACCAAGACATTTTGGACAATTTCATGCTCCCAACATTGTGGGAACAGTTTGGGGATGGCCCCTTTCTGTTCCAACATGACTGTGCACCAGTGCACAAAGCAAGGTCCATAAAGACATGGATGAGCGAGTTTGGGGTGGAGAAACCTGACTGGCCTGCACAGAGTCCTGACCTTAGCCCGATAGAACACCTTTGGGATGAATTAGAGCGGAGACTGCGAGCCCGGCCTTCTCATCCAACATCAGTACCTGACCTCACAAATGCGCTTCTGGAAGAATGGTCAAACATTCCCATAGACACACTCCTAAACCTTGTGGACGCCTTCCCAGAAGACTTTGAAGCTGTTATAGCTGCAAAGGGCGGGCCAACTCAATATTGAACCCTACGGACTAAGACTGGGACGCCATTAAAGTTCATGTGCGTGTAAAGGCAGGCACCCCAATACTTTTGGCAATATAGTGTATGTCTTTTTTTTCAACCTAACTATGTAACTATGTGGAAGCAAAGCCCTGTTCCTCTACCAAGATGGCCATCTCCACACAGAGACACAATGCAGTACAAGGCACGGTAAGTCATGGAGGGAGCCCACAGGAAATACTGCAGACTAGTCTTTTGCCCCTTGCCTGCCCTTTTTGGCAACAGCTTTCAAAGTGCAGGTCCTCTTTAAGGACATTTTAGGCAATTACTGGCCATGTGGGCAATGCAAAAAAGCTGCTGATCTACTTTGTACCTAAAAGCCTAGGCTGTTTAAATAAAATCCATTTTACAAGCGTATATTAACAGAAAAAAAACAACAACAACAAAAGACAACTACAAAAACATAGTCCTTCTTATTACTGTTATAAATGCAGGCAACTGAAACAAGGGAACAATACAAATTTCAAATCAGAACAGACTAAGATTACAGACCTGATCATTAAATGATTTGCTTACTTTTGTGACGAAGGCCCCTATGATATACATGTCAGTCTTTAGGCTGTGTGTGACCCCCGTACTGAAGTAGGTTATACTGAGCTGAGAAGGTGCCACTTGTATGGCTGCAACTTGTTGGTGGAAGTGAGAAGACATAACGTGTTCGCTGAGCACCAGGACGGAGCTGAGATTGTTCACAGACAAGAGATTTTTGGATGACCCCCACTGTGCCAAGACAGAGTATAAGCGTTAGACATAAGAGGAGGTTCAGGGTACAGTTTGCAATAAAAATGTTATTTATGTCAGGTTAAAGTGGAACATTTATGTAAGGTTTAAGTGGAACTACAGTAAATATATTAAAATACATATAACATTTGTGTGTCTGTTCAGCCAGCCTTGTTATCCAAATGTCTTTGTTATACTGTATAGCCAAATAAGTTATATCTATATTATGGGGACCCCCCAAACACACACACTGCCACAAAACAATATTCCCTGCTCCCTCTAGCTAACTGCCCCAGTAATTAAAGAAAATGTAAATGGCCTAAATATTTACCTGAATCTATGATCCTGTGACGCGCTGGGGTCCTACATAGAGTGTAGGGCTGCAACAACTAATCGACATAATCGATTCTAATCGATGATTGAAAAAGTTGTTAACTTTTTCAATCATCGATTAATCGGCTTCCGATTGGTTGGCCCTGTTCACGGCTCCACACGCGCTACGCGCCGCACCTCCTCCCCATCTCACGTTCGCCACTGCTAGATCCGCCCAGCATCCACGCTCCACACGCCCCATCTCCTCCCCGCCTCGCGTTCACCGACCGCATAGGAATACAAATCCCAGCAATACATTACACACTGTATGTATAGTGTACTATTGCTGGGATTTGTTGTACTCCTCTATAGCTGATGGTATTCTGCATTGCGCTGTATAGAGGACTACAAATCCCAGCAATAATGCATTATACAGCGCAATGTGGAATACCACCAGCTATAGAGGAGTACAACAAATCCCAGGAATAATACAGCGGTGCAATGCCGAATATCACTAGCTATAGAGGACTACAAAACCCAGCAATAGTACATTATACAGCACAATACAGAATACCACCACCTATAATGTACTATTGCTGGGATTTGTTGTAGTCCTCTATAGCTGGTGATATTCTGCATTGTGCTGTATAATGTACAATTGCTGGGTTTTGTAGTCTCTATAGCCGGTGCCATTCTGCATTCATTGCTGTATAATTTTACACTTTTCATTTACTATATTGCACACCACACTTTTGTTTTCTTTTTTACTTCCACCGCTCCAAGCTTGCTCCTGTGATGGACTACACTCTCAATACAAACTAGTAGTCCCATCACTGGAGCCATTTTTAATCCGATTAATCGAACTTAATAATCGGCTAACTAATCGATTTTGAAAATAATCGTTAGCTGCAGCTCTAATAGGGTGCCCACACTGCTGCTTGGCAATTTCCCATTGGGTCCATTAATGGGGTCCTCTAAAGGTCTTCAGGATTCCAATAGCGGCATAATGACATAACAGGAGGCTGAACAAGAAGGCCAGAGACTGTAACAGTGGATTACCAGTCTTCACTACCAGAAGAGGCATCATGGAGGGTCACATGACAGTGGATTCAGGCAAGTTCAAAAGGGCTTAGGATGGGTTTTGTTTTTATTGTCAATGGGAGGGAGACGGATGGGTGGGAGGAATAAGGCTATTTCAGGCTTGACCAAAGATGGGCTTTAACTGTGTCACATACCTGTTCACACAGTGATAGATATGCAGTATGATCAAGCTAATTCATAGTCCAATGAGAGGTTAAGAAGTCCACAAATCTGCAATACTGACCCAGGAAAGAGCAGTGTCACCAGCCTGACTGTGCTTTAAGAGATGAGTAAAGCACAGGACTGGTTACACAAAATGATATGTTGGTTGGTAAGTACAACAGATTGCTTCCATACATTTATACTGTGCACTTGACTGTTTGGAAATTTGCTGGTTGAATTCTGGCTGGTTGATTCACCCACTTACTTCTCACCTAATGGATTCTCCAAAGGCATAAACTCTTTGCTGGATTTCTCAACAATGCTCTTTCTACAAATAAGTGAAAAATGAAAAAAGGAGAGTGAGAATCCCTTGTAAATGCTGAGGCAGGTAGGTAGAGCTGGGAACTCAGAGGGGAGGCCATGTCACACAAGCGATCGTCATGGGTGAAAGGCCGTACTTATAATGAGGCTGCCTGAGGCTGTTTCCTCTCTTACATCTCTTTAGGTCATGTGAGGGGGGGCGGCAGGCAGAGCAGTATGGCCACTCAGCTGCACAATGTTTGCAGTGTGTCTGCCACTGCCTTTCCGGGCAGAGCGTCCAAAGTTGCTAAGAGCCAGGTGGGGAGAAGGGCCATACACATCTCTCCGCCCAGCCCTTAGCAACCTGGGACGCTTTTGCAGGCATCCCGCCAAGCTCCTGGTAATGTCAGTGATGTCACTGGTTGCCAGGAGCTTGATGGGATGTACCCCCTCCACCTTAAGTGGCACAAAGTCTTGGGACGCCCCTGCACGGGTGACACATTGACAGCAGCCGCAGCATCACCCAAACAAGGGAGCCACTTATTCTAATAGAATTGCTCACTTGCTGGCTTGAACCATTGCAGAATCTGTCTGGCTAGCAAAGGAGCATCATCTTGTAGGTCAGGCTAGTGATGGAGCGACTCCAAAATACAACGTAAGTGGTCTGTTAGGATCACTTGGGAGACATCAGCCTAAATATAGGAAAGTCAGGAAATCACCAGCACTCAGTAGTAAAGATAAATATGTCCCTTTTATTGGACAGAAAGCGTCACAGACATCCAAATAAGCCGACGTTTCGGGGCCGCGCAGGGTCCCTTCCTCAAGGCAGAAAGATGTGATATTTATCTTTACTACTGAGTGCTGGTGATTTCCTGACTTTCCTGTGTTTGCACGACCCCATCCGTGGTAATTCATCACTGCGAGCACCACTTTTTTCTTATCTGGCCGGGACTGCTGTGGGGAGTGCGGAGGGTCTCTCCATCGACTTACATCAGCCTAAATATGACAACAGCTGCCCGAACCATGAAAATGCAGCTTAAGAATAGTGACCGTTTAGGGAAAGTTCTGATAATCTGCTTTATTTTAAATGTTATAACAGCTCATTTATAAGCAAACATAGAACTTTTTTGTGTATAAATAAATGTTCAAATATACTGTATGTCAGGCCCAGAATGTTTTTACTAGTTCTGGATATACTTGAGAAGGATTAGAATCACTGTCAGGTTTTTTACTGCAATCCGGGCTCCAAAAATTCCCCTCACTTCCTGTCTTGCTAACAACAGTTTTACTAGAAAGAAAATATGGGAAAGTGTTCAACAGGAACACAGACAGAAATAATAATCAGTCAGGGGTCTATCTTTCACCTACTCTACTTGAAAAATAAAATTACTGTCTGTGTTGCTGTTGAGAGTCCCCTCACTTTCTGTCTGGTAAAACTTTGTCATCGGGGCTGGAAGGAAGACTAAAACACAAGTAGAAGTAACACAATAATATCAATCTCCCATTCACTAACTTACCTGCACTTGAGTAATGTTTCCCTCCAGTTCAGTTGGGGTTCTCAGTTTCCAGCTGTCTTTTCCATCAGTCTTTAAGGATTTTCTCCCACCAGTCGCTTTGCTCCACATGGCTACCTTGCCTTTACTGGTTCCAGCGGCCAATATAGCTGAGGAACACAAAATACTAAACTTAGATAACATTATTATTATTTTACAGGATTTATATAGTTCCAACAGCTTCCGGCAGCTTTTTACAAAAAAAGGAACCCAGTATAGTTACAATTCAATTATATCAGGAAGAGTATGTTACAAAAAAATCAGATTAGGGGGCCTCTATGTAAAGTACTAAATAGAATTTTAATGTAAAAGTCAAACCCCCTCCCATTTATTGCAGAGCTTTTTTAACTGCTTCTGTTTTAACTTGGCCATACACTGTTAGAATTTCGTCTGATTTACAAGAACTGGCCTAAATTCTAACAGTAGGTGTCCCTGCCAGCTCGACAATGCGGTCCTGCGTTGTCCTTGATGATGACGAGGGCCTGCCCACATTCCAGGACCAGAGAAGATATGACCAGAGAGGCAGGATGAAGGTGTAAGGTAAGTAATCACCACTATTACACCCCCATTGACAAAATAAGTAGTATATCATGTATATTGTAGGGGAGGGGGGGTGTCGTCACTATTACTTTTTGTGCAGCCTAGAGTTGGCCTTTAAACCTAACCGGACTTCAAACATATCGCAGGGCACAATATATACAATATACAGAGATGGATAATATGATAGCAACTAGCTGAGAGGCAGGTTACCTTTAGCATCACAGTAAGAAATACAGTTAATGGTTTCCTCTGCTTCGAATCCCAACTGTTCATCCAGAAACAAGACATAATTGTCATCTCGCTCCAGGTCCCAGAACCTGAAAAGACATTTCATACTTTAGGAGAGGAGGGCACAGCAAGCTGCTATTGGACATTTTGAATTGCAATAGCCAACAGCAATCTGGCTATTGCACCCGCCCACTACCTGCTGTATTTACATTCAGCTGCCATCTGCAGAATCTTACCACTGACATCTGTCATTCCCTGGCTGAAGCTATTCAAGCACCATGTGCTTGCAATACAATTATTTTTAAAAAAATTATAAAAAAAGGTGGGAAAACAGTAATTTTCGTTTCGGCCTGACAAATTCTGCTGCGGGATGTGCTTTGCAGTGCCATTCAATTCAATGGTACCCCAAACACGCCTCCTACCCATAATGTAATTACCTGCACTGGAACCTGCAGTACCGCAATGCCATGTGTTCCAGTGCAGTGCTATTGCAAATTATTGTGCATGCAGTTTTATTTGGAAGTGAACTTTATGTTTGTAACACTCCATTTGTGTATTTTATTTTAAATTAAGGATGGTGTTTATTTATTTGTATCCGATTAATTGAAAAATTAATCGGCCAACTAATCGATTATGAAAATAATCATGAGTTGCAGCCCTAATTACAATTTCTCGTGTTGTGTCTTACTGTAAGTGCAAATACAAGTCTTCTCAATGCATCATAGAAAGATCAAAACAATAATCTACCAGTTAGATGTTTTTTTTCTTTTATTGTACCTGGACAGCAAGAGAAAATAAAAAAGGACATGCTGACAGTCAATGTCGGGTAACAAAAAATGGGGATATGTACATTTTTATTTGCTTATCACAGCTGAAATGTTAAGACTCACGTGTGACTCTTAAAGCAGTATAATTATATTAAAAAAATTTAAATAATGCACTTTTCCTATGTTTTACCCCTTTATAGAAATAACTATTGATGGACGTTTAGAGCCAAACTAGCTAGAACTAGCTCAGCTAGACCTGAGAGGGTTATGAATGCTCTCTGGTTTACATTAAAAGAAATTACAATAAGTTGGAGATTTTTCCCCTTTCTATACCAATAAACATGGCACAAAGCCTGAAGCTTTTATTTCAATTTATTACAGGCTCCCTTAAATATCTAGGCATACAGCTCATCAACCAGCATAACTACTTATATGCCAAGAATTACAAACCTTTATTATTAATGGTGAAAAGAGATCTTTGCCGTTGGAATAAGACTTCTCCACCTGGCTGGGTAGGTTTAATATTCTAAAAATGAATATCCTGCCAAAGACTTTATTTTTCCTACAGATGGTTCCAATCAAGCTACCCCAAGTATTATTTCCCCAGCTGTGAAGTCTACTTTTAAAATTTTGTATGGAGTAATATTAAACCTTCTCGATCCTTAAGAAGCCCAAATGTGGGGGTGACCTAGAACTCCATGATATTTAAACTTAATACAAATCTAAAGTTTTGCTGAGGATCTTAAATTGGCACTTTTACAGAAAGGACTAGCTTTGGATCTATATGGAAATATTCATGGCAGGTAGGAACCTATGTCATGTCCCATGGCATCCATGAGACCTTTGAGGCATGTCCCCTATGGCCTTGCCTCTCACATCCCATTCACTATGTGGGACACGATGAACAAAGGTGGGTTACTAGTGTCCAGTATTTCCCCTTTGTCACCACGGTGCGGGATGAAAACGAGGGTTTTCTTCATACTTGTCTGGTGGGACCGACCTAAAGTCGGTCGTTTTTTGGATGGATATTATATTAAGGTTAAGAGAATACTAGACAAAGACCTGCAGATGGCCAATCCACATTTGTATTACACTTATTCCCAATGTCTGCCAAACCCTATACAAGCTGTATATTACCCCACCTTCTCAAAGCTGCAAATGCTTAATCCCACTCTATTGGATGCAAGCCAAGATCCCAACCAGGGATATGTAAGATGAATGTGATCAGGGAATCTGGGAAATGGGTTGCCATATGCAGAAACATATATGATAGATTTTACATTGCATGGACTGTTTGGCTCCATTATAGCTCCTCTAATCATCCAAGATCTTTGACAGGAGGCAGCACCTTCATCCAATCATTCACACAGAACAACGGCTCTTGGAGTCGTAAGACATACTGGGGGGAATTTATCAAAACAGGAGCAGACAAAATCTGGAGCAGTTACCCATGGCAACCAATTAGCTTTTCTTTTCAGTTTGTTCAGTTAAGATTTGAAAATGAAAGATAAAAGCTGATTGGTTGCGATGCACATCTGCTCCAGTTTTTGTCTGCTCCAGTTTTGATAAATTCCCCTCTATGTATATCTCAATATTAGTAAACTATTTCCCTGGGCTAGAGGTAAATATATAAATGATTTATACAATTGTATATACTTATTGTCGTTGATTATCAGATGGGTTGATACCCTTCACTGGATATATGTTTCACATTTTCTAGAAATATTTATAACATTCTTGGGAAATAAAATAAAGATTATGGAAAAACAATTACCTGTTGATCTACCAGAAATGCACTCAGCTTCTAACTGCCACCACGTGCCTTTCTATAGACTAAAACGGCAAGATTTGCAGGGTTATTCACCAAAGGGTGAAGAGTTTGGGGAAGACATGAGAAGTGAACAATCTAGGACAACAAAGCTGATCTGGAAAGTGAGCTGAATTGGAGAATTTTTCCAGTTCCGCTATGTTGTCCTAGATTGTTCACTTCTCCTGCCTTCACCCTAACGCTTCACCCTTTTATGAATAACCATGTTGGTGTAAGCCCTGATCACCACAGCACAGGGACTAATTGTTCTGTGATGCAATATAAAAACTGTGAGGACTCTTTGAGACAACACAGTAGGTGTGCACAATCCAGCTCTAAATTTCAATCGGCTTTTTTTGCACTTATTAAACAAATATTAAAAAAAAATGTAATTATATATTTTACAGACCAAAAGGGAGCAAAAAAGACACTCGTCTTTTACAAGGAAACGTGTGATTTGCTTATAGTTTTTCATCATATGCTTAGTTTGAACTGGCTAGGGTTTTGACAGATTTACTTTAAAATGTATGTAAATATATTTTAAAGTAAATCTGTCAAAACCCTAGCCAGTTCAAACTAAGCATATGATGAAAAACTACAGGCAAATCACAAGCTTCCTTGTAAAAGACGAGTGCATGCCTTTACCCTACTACGTTGAACTTCTCTGCTGGTCCTTTAAAAGAGATGGGCAGTTTCACGGACCAATAGAAAGGCTAGGATTTGAAATGGGCGGCAACAGAAAAGAAGAGAAAAAAAAAATGAGCTTGCCTTTTATTTTAACTGCCCATAGCTCAGCAACTACTAATCATTCTGACATGTGGCTTTCATTAAATGCAACCACTGCTTATGCATTTTTCACCACATATGCAGTTACAGCTGCCAAGGTTTGTGTCAGATTTACTTCATCTAAACCTAACCTAACTTATGCACTTAAAGTGTAACTCCAGCCAAACCATTTTAATGTAATTTCTGGATCATGAGGGAAAGGTTTATAATCTGTCAGGTTTTTGTTGATATCTATAGCTTCATCAGTAATATTTCCCTGCACATTTTGTCCCCAGAGACAGCAATTACAATGATGTATTTATAGAGCGCCAACATATTCCTCAGCGTTGTACAATCGTTTAGACAAGTAAGAAACACTGACAAACATCATTGACATATAGAAACAGTAGGTGAGGAGGACCCTGCCCAAACAAGCTTACAATCTAAGAGGAAGGGGACCAAAGACACAGTGGTGGGGAAGGGGAGACTACAGATGTAGATGTAGAGACACAGGCAGCTCTTCTTTGCAGCGCTCAGCAATTCCTCCCACTGAATTCTACGTCATTACTCTATCCTGAAGTGTCGTGGAGAATGGCGGGAGGAACGCTGAGCACTGCTGGGGACACAGCAGACCCATAGTCTCCAAAGTGCCCGTATCTGCACACCAGTCGGGGGGAAAAAATCCTACAACAGAGAAGTGTTTAGCAACAGAAGCAGGCAGCAGAACAATTAGTATTTGCTTGCTTTCATACTAGTGCCAATAAAATTGTTGCCCTGGAATTTAATGCACCTAAAAAAATCCAAAAATATATGAGTGAAAAAAATGATGGCGCTGACACACAATGAGGCAAGTTATTTGTGCTGAAAAACTCTGAAGTGGCCTTGCTGTATACAACTGATCCAATGAAAGATTTACCTTATGACACTTTCTCCTGTAGCTGTAACAAGTAAAGACTTCTCCACACATAGAATGTCCGCTGTCTTCCCAATCCTTCCAGTCAGCTTCACCTGTGAAGAACAATCATACTCACTGAGACATGCTACCACATATTAGAGATGGGGTGTACAAAGATTAAGGGGTGTATTTATAAACAATTCGCAAAGCCATTCATCCAGCAAAACTATTTTTGTTCTGTCCCCCCTTTTGCCTCATTTGTTCTGTGCAAATGAGGCAAAAACCAAGTTCTAATCATATTTTCTTTCTAAGTTGAATGTAATATTAGCAATATACATAATGTGGCCCCTAGATGGAGCTGAGGAGCATAGGAAATTACAACGTTTTCCCTAGAGTCATCAGCTCCATCTGGGGGCCATAATGTGCTGCGCAAACTGTTGGCGCTATATAAATCCTGTATAATAATAATAATGTGGCATTTTCTTAATATTACTTTTGACTTGGAAAGAAAATATACTAAGAAGTTTTTTTTTCCCCTCCATTGGCACAGAACAAGCGTTCACAGAGCTTCGCAAGACAAATGGCTCTGAGAATTAATTATAAATACACACCTGTGTATGACCAACCAAAACAATGTTTTATTAATTTTTGGATAGGGTGGGGACGGATTAGAACCCCTGCCAGGTTTCTAGTGCTGTCTGGGTTTCCATTAGAGGGATTTACCTTCACTTCATGTCCTGCTGACATTTTACCAGACAGAAAATAAGAATAACTCTCCAAAAGTATCACAGACAGAAATAAAGATTCTTTTCTTAGAAGAATGGGGAAGGCTAGAACTCACTGATTGTGCCCAGTTCCAGATTTGCCAACTCTTCTGTCTGGTGATACCATTGTCAGCAGGGCAGACAGTGAGAAAAAGCCTAGCAGAGAGTCTTACTAGGGATGCACCGATACTAGTAGCTTGTCCGATACCGGAACTTCCGGTCAGAGGAAGATTTCCTCTGACCGGCAGTGGCGTAGAGGGAACATGGAGCTGGCTTCCTGGGCAATCAGGAAGCCGGGTGGCAAGTAATGACCCTCCTCCCGACTTCCTGATTGGACGGAAAGCCAGCTCCATGCTGATTGGCTGGGAAGCCGGCTTCCTGGCCAACCAGCATCGAGCCGGCCGAACAGCCGGCTCCTTGCTGATTGGCTGGGAAGCCGGCTTTCTGTCCAATCAGCATCGAGCCAGTCCAACAGCCACCTCAATGCTGATGGGCTGGGAAGCCAGCTTCCCAGCCCATCAGCATTGAACTTGCTGAACAGCCGGCTCGATTCTGATTGGCTGGGAAGCCAGCTTTCCAGCCAGTAAGCATGGAGCTGGCTTCCCGGCCAATCAGGAAGCCGGGAGTCAGGTCATTACTGATTGGCCGGGTAGTGGGCCCGATGCTGATTGGCTGGGAAGACAGTTTCCTGGCCAATCACAATGGAGCCATCCAAACAACATGGAGCCGGCGTCCCGGGCAATGAGGAAGCCGGGCAGCACGCCATTAAACGCTGCCCGGCTTCCTGATTGCCTGGGAAGCCGGCTCCATGCCAGCGGAATCACCGGTATCGGTGCATCCCTAGTTCTAACCCAACCCACCTATCCAAAAATTAATAAAAAAGGTTTTGTCTGGGCATACACTTAGGGGTGTATTTATACACTCTTGATCGTTTGTTCTGTTCCAATGGAGGTAAAAACATAGTTCTCACTATATTTTCTTTCCAAAGTAATATTAGAAAAATGACACATTATGGCCCCTAGATGATGATGAGAAGCAAAGGAAAGTATTTATTATTGCTTAATGTTTGGCTGGACATACACTTTAAGTATCTGGAGACAGACCAGTTCAAGGTGCTCTCAGTAACCAATAAGTTTCACCTTTCCTTTTCTCCCAGTACACTATGAGAGAATGAAAAGAAGAATCTGTTAACATTTGGAGCACCATAGACAAGATTAAAGAGACATAAGAGAATTTGGTATGTTGCAACCAACTTGAACATAGGCCATAACCTTAATCAAGAAAAATCTCACTGCTAGTTACATAGATACATAGTTAGTCAGGTTGAAAAAAGACACATGTCCATCGAGTTCAACCTATAGAGATAGATTGATCACTGCTGATCAACTTCCTCACTTACAGGGAAACTATACATTTTGGGTAAATTTTTCTGTCTGTTTATAAAATGATATTTTAGAACATTTTTAATTACAAATGTAAAATATCTATTTTACAAATAGCCATATAATACAGGGTGCTTTGCACTATTTTGGAGAATTTGGGCATTCTAATAAGAAAGCTCAGCAGTGACTACTTGCTTTTTAAATAACTCTCTCTAAATTAAAGACCACAGGGTCCATATGACCTAGAACAAGGGAGGTGAGTGTCTCTCCCCTGACTGATTTAGCTGTTTGCAATAGTGACAGGAGTCCTCTAAGTCTATGCTCACCTTTGAGATCTCCTCAGCTTCCCCTTCTGGAGTTATGAAGAATCGCGACAGCAGGAAGTTCTCAGAGATCACTACCAGCATGGATTTCTTCTCTATGAATAGCAGTTTGCGAACCGAGCTGTCCATGCCAATTATCTGGCTGCTTTTACCCTGTTCATTCACCCAGTGTATCGAGCCTGGAATTCAGAGAAAAAAAAAAATTCAAAAAGTTTGTAGGAAAGTCACTAAGCGCGTTATCCAGGAGGTTTTTGTTTTTTTACACTTTAGTCTTGCTCATAAAGAATTTGATTTAGCACCTCCTCGTCTATTTGAAAGCCAACTCCACAAAACCGATCATGGAAACATTTGGGGACTGCTATTGCTTATTTTCTTGTGAAAATGAAGGTTGATTGACTGTTATGCTGACCCAATAGGTTAATATTTGTTTACTGTTCAAAATGTTTATATATATATAATGTTGCTGAATACTGCACAAGTTCTTTTGTGTAATAAATGTAAATATTTCAGAAATGAAATCATTTTTGGGTCACGCCTTAATGACCAAGGAAACATGTGGGTCCCGAGGTTACACGGGTTGAGAACCACTGCTCTAAGCCACTAGCCTGGAAAAACATGCCAATCAAAAAAACTAGAGTAATGCATATTTGTCTGGGCAGGGTGACTCAAAAATACTGAATCCAGAGGTTCAGTATGACGGTCAGGCATCAAGGAGTTTCAAAAAGAAAGGTCAGCAACAGCAACCTCCATGTTTCTCTTGTGTTGGGTTACTTTACGGTGAACCTATCATCAGGCTATGAGCCATGCAATTATTTACCCATTCTTAAAAAGCAGTAAATGATCTGTAACCCTTTCGTTGCCAGGGCCGTTTTTGCAATTTTGTGCAATCGATTAGACCCCTAATGTCACCTTTGCAGGTCACTAAAGCTGATCAAGCAAAGATCCCACTTGATCAGCTTCTTCCGCAGCCTCTCTGGTTGGGGAATGACAGCTCAGAAACCCGACGTAAAGAAATCATTATAGTTTCCGGGTTCCTTCAGCAGGGAGGAGATCCGCGAATGGATGTTCACTGGTCTCTCTCCCCACTACCCTCCGACACCCGCAACTCCATTTTCAGGCCTGCGGGAGGGGCAGTGAAGCCTGAGAGGCAAGGCCCAAATCCTGGCCCATGCCCCGGCCCGTGGTAATGATCAGGTGGCTTAACAGAGCTGCCTGAATCACTTCAAGTGTAAAGCCAAGAGTCAAATTTACACATGTATAGCTGACGGAAGTAAGTCGGCTGGGGCCAGCTGCTGCCAACATATAACATACGTCAGCAGCAGCGAAAGAGTTAATACAAGCCATTACTGACCTCTGTAGCTGCAGGCACTGTGAAGCAATTCAAATTAAAGTACAACCTGCTTCCTCCTCCCAGATCTCCTCCTCTGTGTCTATGTTAGAGATTAGAAGGATAGAATGCTGTTGAGTCAATGCTGGGATGGGGAAGAAGGGGATTGCTGATGGAATAACTTGGACAACCTAAAAGGAGAACTATGGGGCAACCTTTTTTGCCCATAGTTCTCCTCTTGGTCACGGGAGGACATATGTGTCCTCCCGTGACCCAAAACTCAGTACATAGCGGGCTATTGCCCGCTATATGCCGAGAGTGCCGCAGCCGGGACAGATCCTGACAATACTGTTGAGATCCACCCAGCTGGCTGATTGACAGCTGGCTCTGCCTCTCTAGAGGAAAAACAAGCTATGCCTGCCCCCTGTCCCGTCCGTCCCGGCAGTCAGCGCTGATTACTGACAGTCACCGCTCTCTGCAGGGAGATGATCGGGAAGTGAGCGGATCGCCGGTATGTTTTCGCTGACTTCCCGATCAATAAAGCCGAAGTGAGACAGTTTCAATGTCACACGTCGGTTCTAACTATGGGGATGAGTGTAAATCACTCACCTCATAGTTCTCCTTTAAGTGCTTCTGTTGTGAATGTTGAATATGAATTACTATACATTGTCTGAAGCAATAAAGCTCAGTCTCCTTTTGAGCTCATTTTATGCTTTTTAAGAATATGTTAATTCTTGAATGTCCAAAGCCTGGCCACAGGTTCATTTTAAAATTGAATTTAATATTTTGGCTTTGAGTAGTAACTGACAGGTTCAATCACTTGTTGGCAAGACATTTTCACCGGTGTTTCCAGTTTTGTCCAACTACGATAGGTCTTAAAATGCCAAAAATGTGTCACTCTGCCCATGAGAACTCCATAATGCATAGCTAACAAATAGTTGGGAATCCAGCTACAAGCAAAACACAACTTTGTTATGGTCTTGTGGGAAAGGGCGGCAACTATAGGGAAATCTTTCCACAGAAGTCTCTGAATGTAATTAGTTTCAATGGGATCTGTGTGCTCAGTATACCAAGAAAAGAAGAACGCACACATATTCATCCCAGCTTATTCCTGGTGTTCTTGATTATATCATCCCTGTTGAAATGAAGTGGATGTTATATGGAAATCATTTAGATGCTATAAGCATCAGAAATCTTTGGTTGATAAGTAGCATTGATTATTGGGTACATATTGGCACCAATTTACAAAATTGGCAATTTTATTTTATTTTTATACATTTTTAGGTGGATTTATAAATATTTTATGTGCATACAATCATTGTTTTACAAACAAGCATTTCAAATAGGGATGTTCAGTTGCCAAGTACCGTGCCCGGTACAAGTACAAGTACAAGTACAGATACTTTTCCTGCTCCAAGACTAGACTAGAGAAAAATCAAGAGACTAGAGAAAAATCAAAAAGTTAGGAAGCAGCTGTCATTTGTAAGGAGCACACGGAGCTTCTGGGATTTGAGTATCCCTGTTTAATGTATGATTTTCTTTTAATAAATATAAATAAGTGATGCACAGATACAATTTTTTCAAGTACAAGTACTGAAACTTGTCCAAGTACTCACAGATACAAGTACTGATACATTTGTATTTAGTGTCATGTGACAGTTTTTCTGTTAGTTAGTTCTGCTAGTTCTCGTGAAAATGTCATGTATCGGCACTTGTATCTGAACATTCCCAATTTAAAAGAAGATGGTGGATTCCCAAAGTATTATGTATTAGCTAAAGGGAGAGTACAACAGTATTTCACTGAAACCTGGGACTGAGCAATCTAAAAAAGGACCCTTGCAAGGTGAAATTAAGTTATGCGTGTATATTCACCTTGATCTTAGTCTCTATAAATAGCAGAGGGGTAGGCAGAAGGGTAAGCAGACATAAATATGTGTAAAGCTCCACCTGTTGGGGTTCATTTCTTGTTTAAAGTAGATATGAAACCAATGTAGGGAGTAATACAAAGTTATAGTAGGGAATGCTTAAAAGGACAACAATACCTTTTGTACAGTTGTCCTTTCATTAATCCCCACACCCCTGAGTTCAAGCTGCTTGGTAAAATGACTGCCTTTGCAGTAAAAACACCCCTGCCAGGTTCTCCTCTAAATGTGTTTGTGCACTGCAGCCCTATTCATTCCTATGGGTGAGCCATATACCATGCATATATCATGCCTATGGCTCATCCACAGGTATTATTCTATTGATGCTGCTAAATTATCACAAAAGTTTTTCTACCCGGATCTGTTATTTTTGATCATGCCATAGTGCCTTGCAGGTTGTAATGGCAGGAATGCTAGTTTAGATCACACAGTGTTTGCGTCCTACTTACCATCTCCTGTACTGAGGAAGAAGGAAAACTCCAGCTGCGTGCCAGTCTTCATTTTCCAATTAAATTTATCAAGGGCTTTCTCATCCCCACTTACTGCAGCCTTAGCAAGCTGGGTCATATCCCTGAAAAAAAAATCCCAGAAGAAGTCACACAGTTTCCTGTACATGCATAGCGGCCAATCACAGATTTACTATTACTGTTTAGCTGTTACATACAGTGAGAGTAACAATCTGGTTAATATGGGTCATTTGCCACCACTATTCAGTATACTCAGACAAGTGCTTTGCCTGGGACTATGGGCATATTTACCATAAACATGTTACTGAATAATGCAATGCAATTCCATTAAGGCAGGTAGTGAGTACCTTAATACATTAGCAAAGGTCTTATGCATGGAGCACCTGACCTGCCTTTAATTCCCAAAGTTGCAATTATGCTTCCCTTCCACATCCTATAATGCAACACAGATGCTTCATCAGTCCATACAGTGGTGCCAGGATTGCACTATGGAATGCAGAGGCTGACAGTGAGCCCAACTAGATGAAAGATCTGGTGAAGGAGCACCTGAGAAAGAGTTTGCTTAGATTTAATGGTACACGCAGGCATGTTGTACTGTTTGCTTGTCTTTTCATTGGGTAACAGGCTATCTTACATGAAGTACAAATGTAAATGGCTTACTGTTAAGGTTGGAATCGAATGACTGCTAAAGAATACCATGAACTAAAACTGCAAGCGCAACAAGGCAGGCCTGAGGTGCACTTCCTAAATAATCATTAAAGGAGAACTATGGGGTTAGGGCTTTTCCCTATAGTTCTCCTTAGGGTAACGGGAGGACACAAACTAGCGTCCTCCCGCCACCCTAAGCTCAGTATACCGCGAGCTACAGCTCACGGTATATCGAGACGCCGCAGCTGAAGCGGATCACGACAATTATGTCTGGATCCGCCCAACTGTGTGAGTGACAACTGGCTCTGCCTATCTAGAGGCAGAGCCGGCTGTACACGCCCCCCTCCCCCGTCCGCTCCGCCAGTCAGCGCTGGAGGATCGGAGCGGGGAATCCAGCCCCTCCCCTGTCACAGCAGAGAGCTGTGACAGGATCGAGAAGTGAGTGAACGCCGATATGTGTTCGCTCACTTCCTGATATACTGAGCCGACCTGTGACAGTCTCATTGTCACAGGTCGGCTAGAACTATGAGGTGAGTGAAAAGCACTCACCTCATAGTTCTCCTTTAATCAATAGAGGGGGTGCCTTTAAATCCACTGCCAACCCTAATCTACTAAAGAAAAAAATGGGAAAAGGCACACCTTTGAACCCCCCTAACTATTTATGAAAAAAGTCTGCATTAGGTAGAATCTGTTTTTCTATCTTGAAAGATCATTTGTAATGTTAGCCCCTTGAATGACAATATTGTATATTTTATATGTGGCTCTTTTGGGCATTTTAATGAAGAGCCATAGGAGAACTATCCATGTATTCCCATTCTGCATGTCCTTGCGTTGTATTTTCTATCTCATAAAGCCAAAAGTGTCCTATGTATACTCATGTATATAAGACAATGTTTACATGACTTACTCTTCAGGGGCTACTGGTTTAAACAGGCAATGAGTCAAAGGCTTGTGGTACTCCAACTTCAGTAAGGGGGCACCTTGAACACGACCTCGCTGATCCAAACGCCACATAATCAACAAACCGCTCTAAACCAGAAGTAGTAGTATAATTACAAATTCAGATTAGAATGTAAAAATAAGCATATTGTATAAAGGAAGAACGCATAAACACAGTATATACACACATAAATATATACACACACTGTGATTTAATAGAGAACTATAGGGTAACCTTTTTATCCCATAGTTCTCTTTAGGGTCACGAGAGGACATATACGAACGTCCTCCTGTGCCCCAAAGCTCAGTATATAGTGAGCTATTGCTTGCTATATACTGAGAGCGCCGCAGCTGGGACGGATCTCGATTATAATGCCTGGATCCACCCAGCTGGCTCTGGCTATCTAGAGGCAGGGTCAGCTGTGCCCGTCCCCTCCCTATCCTGTGCCTTCAGTCAGCGCTGGAGGATCGGAGGGGGGAATTCCTGCGGGGAGCAGTGACTGACAGTCACCGCTCTCTGCAGGAAGATGATCGAGAAGTGAGCGAGCGACAGTATGTGTTCGCTCACTTCCCGATTAATAGAGCTGACCTGTGACAGTTTCATTGTCACATGTCAGCTCTAACTATGAGGATGAGTGGAAATCACTCACGTCATAGTTCTCCTTTAAGTTTAGAAAGCACACAGTTTATAACCTGTAATTGATCCAAGTTGAATAAGTCCTCTAATTTCACCATTAAACAAGTGTAATTTACCTAAACGCGTGCACACCAAGCTTTTTCTCATTTTGCAAAGTCAGTGCAACAATTTTCTGTATATTTGCACCCCCTGAACCTGGAATTCTTCTTCTGAGACAGGATCTCACTCCTAACAGAAGCAAACTTAAGATGTGGTCAGGGGCGGGTTTTATTCTTATTTTATATTTCTTTTATTCTGCCCCAGTGCTACTTTAAAGCACCAGATTGAGTTGTAATATCCTAATCCTAAGCACTACACCCAGCCTCAGGCCAAGGCACAGGCAGAAAAGGTGGATGCCTTGGATGCTTTAGCATCAGTAGGTGGAGCAAAAGGGCAGGCAGGACGTGCCACCTATGCTGCTAAAATATTTTGCAGCACTTTGGCCTTTTCGGAGTCTAAGGGATCTTGCCCAGCACTGACTGAACCAGCGTTCTGCACATGAAGCCTACTACAAGAATAGCACACTAGCATGTATTAGCTATATTTATATTTCAGGCATCTGAATTAATTTGCTACCCTAATAACCAAGCTGACTTCTAATACATTACCCACTCTGATGTATTTTCTACTCACCAAGTCTCCTGTAAGCAGACGGCTGTTGTTTATGCTCCATACCAGCAATGTGATCTCCATGCCGTGTGTTGGTGGCACTGTGTGAAACTCTTTGTCTTGCTCATTGAAAATGATCACCTCTCCCATGGCCCAGCCCATGGCAAGTAGACGTTTTGCTGGATGCCAGCTAAGTAAGGTAGGCTGGTAGGACCTTTCCACATGTGAAGCAGCAATATGCTCACCCTGTAACGAGCATAACAAAGAACACAGTACAAGCCATTAAATCCATAAGTGGCAACAGATCATTTACACAGATACTGTTAACAAACAGAAATAATATTATGTGAGCTGCTGATCTGACTAAACCTAATATCTTTAGTAATACTCACTTTTAATAACAGATATTTTTTACTAGTTGATAATAGTGCTACAGAACAATGGCACAGATAGCATTTTTCATCAAGTGTATCTTCCAATGGGAGCACCACTGAACACTGGAGATGCTCAGAGTATGGTCCTATACAAGCCTCAGAGGGCTCATGAGGCAACAGATCATTTCTATACTGTAAAAATTGACAAAGGCCATGGCTGGTACTGTAGAAAGAAAACCCAACCATCACCCCCCCACCCTCCCCCCCTCCACTTCCTTTCCAGTCTCATACTCA